CCACAAGGTGACAACCGTCAGCACAGGGATAAGGATGTTGACACTCGATCTGAAGATTCACAATTGCAGTCTTGTCCTAACCGAGACCCAAAAACGTACGCGCACAGTGACGAGTCCCAAACAGGAAGAAACAGTGATCCGGTGATTTTTGTCTCTTGTCCCAAGAAGAGTTCTCTCGCATCTAAACCAAATGAGTTGTTTGTTCAAAATCATCTGCAGCAGTGTGATTCCAGTTCTACGACGCGGTCAACATGCATACAGAATCATAGATTTTCACTGGTGAACTATTCATAGATATACTGTGGACCGAAACGGACATTAAAGTGTTTATGACACTTTATTCGGCAACTTATTTTTCCTATAGTTTACTTCTCTCAATGAATGAGAAAAAGCCAGCGGAGATTCGTTCGAAACATCCCATTTCTGCGAGTATTCTGGGCCACATTCAGTCGGAGTACCATGTTACTGAAGGTGACATAAAAAGTGGCTATCCTGTTCAAAACTATAGACAATTTGACTATAATCTGTATGGCGATAATCAAGGTCTTGTAAGCCACGTTCATAAGCGATCTGCTCAAATGTGGCCAGTGACTAATAGAGCCATCATCATCATCACCATCATCATCATCATCATCATCATCATCATCAGCACCATCATCATTTTCCGATTTCGAATCCGTCCTGTTCGTAGAAGGTTTTCAAACTTTTTGAAAATGGATTTTCTCAATTGAGCGGGGTCGGCCTCTGCTTATGGTTCATTGTTGTGTCTCTTGTCGTACACATCGCTAGCTATTGTAGTGAAAATGAACACAAAAAGATCGAAAAAGATCAACATACAAAGCGTGATGACTAGCTTTTGAAGTCCCCCAAATTTATTCGGTTTTCTTTTCGTACAGTAAACTTTTACGCAGATTTCATTCCATTGCCAAACATGGATCGGTGCTTTGATGACTCATAGCCGAATGCCTGATCACGGTACAAATGTGAGCACTATGTGGTTCATGAGCGCTATCCTATGTCACAGTTCACGTATGCTTCATTCTCTCTGACATGCGCTTCACAGTACACTGATGTGCTTTCTTTTTTCTTTACCACGATATGTGCACCTGTGAAAGACCGGTTCGCTTGTGATGGTGAGTGCATCCGTTGTGGTCTACTCCAAAGGTAGGATGGGGTGGTTGGGCTGAGTGCCTTTTAGGGCACGGTTTCTTCGTGGGTAGGAGTACTGTGAGCGTTATTTAAAAAAAAACGGTTTTATACTTCGACGGACCTTGAAAAAGTGATTGAGACTGAACTTATGCAGTTTATCATTTTCTGCAACTCACGGAACCCCTTGCTCGAATGTTTTACTTACCAGAATCTTGTTAATGAAAACAGCTGTAGAAAAAAAACACCTTCCCGATAAGATGATATGCTTGAAAATTACAGTCATGGTGCAAAAACAACGAATGCAGTGCAACCTTTATTCAGGGTTTGTGCCGCTTCTCCTTTGCTTGTTTCAATCACACCCGTTCAACAGACTGAGGTTCTGGTTTACAAACGTTTCATTGTTAGCAAACGGATTGAGGTCAGTACATGGTAAGGAACTTGTGCACCTGTCTGTGCTCTGTGATGCCCGATTCACTTTGATTTTATCTGTTTTCCTCATTGTATTTGACTTCATGCCCCAGTTAGGTAACTAGATGCGGCTTCCGTTCATTCTGTCCTTTTTTTCACTGACTACAACTAATCCCTGATTCCGTAGTTTGAGTCCCACACATCATACTCAAATCAGCGATACGCAGGAGCACACATTCATCCTGAGCATAAACCAGGGTGAGCATGATTACCACTGCTGGCGGGCTGAGAGAGAGAATCAAAGCCTGGAGATTATTGATTTTAGTGCAACCAAGAATCGGTATGTTGTGCATACAACGATACTTTTGACAGTTACAGAGGTGAACTCGTCGTATATACAGGAATGAAGCGTGAACCGAAAAGCTAGAAAGCACTATCGGACACCTGTTTCGACCTGGTTGGGTCTCATCAGTACAGTACGAATCCACCGACCCAACAGGGGATCGAACCCGGACACTCACAGGCAGAACGTAAGCATGCTATCAACGCGACCACCGGACAGTTGATTAGACCTGCTTTTTATATTTTCCATTGGCAGTTAGTAATAAAACCTCCGACAAGAGTCGCATACACGCTACGGGTTTATCGATCACCGAACAAAAAATTGAGCAAACAGTTCCATCGCATTAGATCAATAGCGCGTGCATATGGAGAAAGTGCAGCGCAGAGAACGAGATTTGCTCCAATGATTGATCTTCTCTAATACAATACAATACAGTTTACTTAATTAGCTACCGCTCTGCGCCTAGTCTCTGGCTGGATAGGCCTTGATGTATCAACCGAAACAGATGAACCACCGAGCTAAATCTATTTCGAAAGGCTGTTTTCATGGTTGAAAATATACAAATAGATTTGCATTTAATTCTCAGTCACTTGTGAGTAGTGATGCGAGATAAGTTACACTGATGTGAACCCACCATGCTCCACATTTCATCTTCACGCACGATCCTCAGTCGGGCCCAAAGAACTGACTCTACTGACCGTCACTGAAGAAATCTGAACAAACCTGAATTGGTAACTTAGTCCAGCCCTTGTTTTAGGTGGTTGGCATAGTAGTAACACACACGCCTTCCACGCGCCGGGTCCAGAGTTCGAAGCCCGGACGGTCGGATGATGGTGGATATGTCCTAGTGATGAGCTCTGACGAGAGATAAATTCGCGTCTCTGATGCTGTGGCTCATTATAGATGAGGTGCATGAAGATGAAGTCTGAAAGATGGTCGGTTCGCATTGAAATACTGAGTGATTTAAATAGACAGAACAATGAAAAGTGCTAGATCGAGATCTACCTCGCAATTTCGGATTCAGCAGACCGGCCACTGGCTTTTTATTATTATTCAACCCAGCACTCGGTCNCTCGGTCCCATCGGTGTGCTGAGCAAGCCACGTTGGGCCATTGGATTGAATCCAGTCGCATTTGCTGCATGCGGGGACATGAATTTTCCGGTCGGGCTCATCGACTTCGGTCGTACGGCTTCCACGGGTAGAACACGACGTCGTTTCTTCGGCAGTTTCGACTGTGCCTGTGTGTGTGTGTAGAATCGGGAGAAGTTGGACACAATGACCGGGACCGGTAGTGAGATAGTCATCACACCGGTGATTGCGCACATCGCTCCCACAATCATACCTGATTTGGGAAGAGGGATTGACGGAGACGGGAGGAGGAGGAGGAGGAGGAAGAGGAGGAGAGAGGAGAAACCGATGAATCCGAAAGGTTCATTTGCACATTTTTTCTGGTTTGTCTGCTAGGTTTAGTTCAAACGTGATACGATCACTGAAGCTGTCTTCTCAGCGAATGTTTCCAAAGTTTCACCAAATGTTTAAGTATCCGCTAAAATGTTATCGGATTCAGAGAACAAGTTAACGAATGAATACGGGAATGACCTGAGATAAATGAGTCAATCTTTGAAAAAAGTGTTTCTACTGCTTATTGTTCAAACAAACCATTATCACACACTATAGCAAACGAGCTCACTGTGTGGGGATTCATTCATCAGCTCGCACATCACAATGTTTGGTGGGACAACAGATGGAGAAAAAGCTATCATGCTGTAATGATTGTATTAATAGTAGTAGTACGCATGGAATTCGGAAGACGAACCACGCAATAGGAAGCACAGGACACAAATCTAGGATCAGCTATGACGGACTGGATTACGGAAGCACTGGACCGCAATGGTACGAGCTCACAATGTCCCACGTGAACGAGACGTGAGGAAAAAGCCACAAGACTGGCAATTCGTGGTTCGTTTACCGGAAGAAATGAAATAATATGTACAAAAGAAGATCATTGATTATCTAGGCTCCGACCTATCATATTGCAGTATTGCCTGCATAATTCTGCTTCTATCTGCACTGTCTCGTAGTGGCTGGCACGATCTGCCCATGGAGTGTAGTCAGAAGCCGTACGCGCGTCATTCACGTCACCTTTCAAATGGGCCTGATCGCAGGTGTCAAGAAACTGTAAACGCCGCGTCAGTGTAGGCATCATCACTTAGGCCTGGATCACCACACGACTAACCTATCGGGGCCTTATGTGGTTCGCCACTCCAAGTCCTGGGTCTTAGGTTGCCGGTTTCAACCACTGAATAGCAGGTTTTCGTGACCATGGGGTTCGCCCCCTCTGCTGTTCATCACACTTAGGTATGTAATAAAAAAATTCAATTCCTAAATCGAGGTTGGTTACACCCGGCATGGTTGAATAGTACAAGAATCAGGTTCATCAATGGTTCAGTCACTAGTGGTGTCAAATCAAGTAATCAGTTCGGTCGAGGTGCTTCGACTTCTCTATTTACACCTTCGTCATCAAGCTTTAGCCACGACCCACAATGTCTTAGCCACCTTTCGTATTTCTTTAGCCTACATGCACAAAAGTTAGTCATTACAGCCGCAGGCGAGTCAAATCAAAAGTATAGTATGAGGTCAAAGAATGTTAAAACGTTTTATTTTTTCCAGTTATTAGTGCTGCAAAGCTTGGTCAAGAAATGAGATGTGGCGGTCACATGCTACACCACATGTTAATTGGAGAAGTCTGAACGATGTGCCCGTATCGTCAACCCATTTGGCACATCGCGTACAGCTTCTATGTTTTCGTATAACACGCGATACTTTTGTGAGTAAAGTTATCCAATGTTACACAAACGGTGCATTGTCTTGCATTCAAAACTCCTGACATGAATCAAAAGGTAATACAATAACAAAACGAATGCTTCGATGTCGTATCTCCACTTAAAAAAGCTTCGTTTTTCAGAAGTAGAACAAGTAGTGGAAGTAGTAGAAGTTCACTGAACTCGATCAATGTGGACTAGGAGTCGCATCTTGACCGTTGATCGGCATCTATTTTTCACATATCTCCTTGTTTGCTCCCCAAAACATTTAGTTAGGATGCTGTATCCGAGACTATCACCACACTACACACAGTTCCCTCTATTCCTGCATGAACCTGCAAGAATGAATGTGTGCGACGACAACACTGTGTGGGTAACATCCGGTCATGGAACTAGAATACGAGTTTTTCTATCGATATAAACTTCATCCCGTCAAACATTACGATATAAATAGTGATAGATGAGTCAGTTAATAAACCAACTGTTTTTCTAATAACATTTCTAGTTTTTTCCAACTATATCTCCCGAGAATAAGTGCCCTACTTTATCTGCTCGAGTAAGGTAGAACAAATGACAGGTTTGCTTAGTCAAGGAAGTGCCTTCCCGCATTTCCAAGCACAAGTAGCTTACGCAGGACTGAAACATCTTTGTTGCATACTTGATGTTTCCTTTAAAAATGGAAACCCGTATATAGTTCGCCAGTGTGGTTGTTGTTGTTGCGCGAGATCTTAAGTTTGCTCGTGGAAGATATTCATCGTCTAGAAATTTTCGATTACCGATGTTCACGTAGCTTGGCACGGGTTGGATGGAGCGAGCGTGTAAGCAACTTTAAGAAAAGTCGTCGCGTATTTGGTAATGATTCCATAGAGAATTGTTTGTCCCATTGAATTCAGCTGAGTAGGCTTCGCTGATTAGGACATGTATTGCGCATGCCCAGCCTTCGTCTATCGCACCACGCCTTATTTGCAGTTACGGCTCCAGGTTGGAAGAAACCACGTGTAGGTCTACCGATGATGTGGAAATGAAGAAATGCACAGTGCGATTAGATAGAATGGGTATCTCCCGTCTTCCAGGTTGGGTCCCAAAAGACTGTAATTGACTGGTTGGAGACACTGAAGGATTTGGGCAAATTTTACATTCATTTATTGAATAAGCAGTATAGTTCTTTCAAATTCTTCCTGTATTCTATAAAGAGGTTAGCAAAATTATCATTTTGACTGATCGGTACTCACAGCACAGAAGTTGCGTGGGTTCTGCCATAACGATTATAGAGTAGGTGAATACGCGCTGTCAGTTAGAAGGGACATATTAACTGAGCCCAACCTGGACAAATCACACACACACATACACACAAATCTATCTAATTGCGTCGCAAACTGTGCTCAAATTTTTTCAAACGAGACATATATATCCAGAAATCTTGGTATCAAGTGATCAATGCAGAAGAACGTTTACTGAAACCAATTCTATAACGTGCTTTGTAATGGTCTGTACAATTCTAGCTTGACTTGAGTATCATTTGTCCCGGTTGAACGGGAATTTTACATTTTGCCAACAGTGTAACCTGCAAGTAACATATCAACCGAATAGGAATGTTGAATAACGAGTACACACGTACGCATATTGGTCAAGTATGATCTATTAATGTCTAACATGGGATTTTTACGCCGGAGAAACAGCTGGAATATATGCAGATACAACTTCTAACTCCTAAGGGGGAACTACCGAGATTTGTGATACTGAGGAAATTCTAAACACCATCTCTCCGTTTCAACAAGAGGTTGAGAAGTTCTGTGTGATAAATGGTGACATCATAATGAAGCCCGAAAACGGCATGAGTTTGAAAAAACTCTGATTAGGTTGACGTTCCATATGGACGACGTGAAATGATTCTGGGACAATTTGAAATGATGTTAGCGTATCGTGATCCGTCCAAAGGGACAACTTACTTTACCCAAAGGTTTGTGTGAAATTGGGAAGCTATTATAGCTTCCAAAACACCAATTTAAATGCATCTAGTCAGAGATAATCCATGAAAATCAGGGGAAATTTGGCTCAATCGGAATTTCACTCAGTAGTAGTCCATTGAGTCTCCAAGCTGAACCGACCAGAGGCCCGACTGTGGCTATGCGTCTAAGCATGATATATATGATCCATCCCTAGATCCATATTCATGCGAGCTGTTTTTGTTCGCCAATCGACCTTAGTTAATGGTTTTCACGTGTTCTCATTCTCCTCAAAACCCTGCACGACCAGCCGCCAAGCGTACAAATTTCTCGGCACGTGAATAGTAAAAAACCCCATTGCTCCACAACACACATTTTAGCTCCGTAACTCAGTTTTTTGAATACTTGGGGAAAAATCAATCCACTCCGAATGAACGGTTGTGATGACGGACGCGACTCAATGCGTAACATTGGACTAGTGAAATAGCAACCACAACACGTAGGGGGCTCCCAATAGACCCCGATTGTTGGTTTTGCTTGCATTTGAAAAGGTATAGGCTTTTATACGTAGTGCATACTATACTAGATGAATAACCCACCGAATCAAAACTCGGAATGCACCCAAAAAGATAATTAGCTAATACGTCAAATACCCAATGTTTCGTACAAGCTGTCATGGAGAGGCCAGTATAGCAAAACTGCACGATTTATGTCCTGAACCATTTCGCTGAATCTCAAATGGTGCCTGCTGTAGACAAATACAATGTTCATACAGAGTTTGGGAATGGATTAAAAAATAAACAATTGTAAATGAGAGAGGCGTCACCAAGGCAAAGCCAAGGTGATGAACAGGTAATTTTGATGACAGAATTATTTTCCATCGGTTGATTGCAATCGCCTCGACAATTTTGAACGTTCTGATGTTATCATTAGTAGAAATCACACGAAATGCTTTCTCGCGATCAACGAGGTGTTTCATCATCAACGAGTGCTTGACAATCAATGAGTTTGGTGTTTTTTAAGCACGGTCCTTACTGGTTGTCGGTTGTATGGAGCTTGACATGGCAACTTGCGTTGAAATCAGTTTGGAATGTGTTCTAAAATCCGATTACGTAATTGCCTTTCTGTTCCGCCAATGTGTCTCCGCACCCGCATTGGAATTGATAGAATACGTTTGAGCTGATGTGCAAAGGTGGGTACTCTTTAACCGGTGGGATGAGTATACTCTTTGTCCTGCGTAAAATTCTGGGTTTGACTGCATAACAATTTTACAGTTGACAAGCATTAGTAACTATCATGGGGCAAAACACATCTCCGTATAGCAACATAAAAGTAATGAGGCGAAAATGAAAATCTATGTGTACTACTCATGAGTAGGACAACACTAAATATGAGTATAATAGGAAATTGTTCCTTCAAACAGCATATATTTTCGATGACAAGTGTTCTTTCTATTTATGTAAATCATGGCTGCTCAGTGACTGATTGATCGTTAAATCTAAATGCGGAGAGGAACTTCACATATTGGTCAGGTTAGGTTACCAAAATTGTTGTTCAATTTCCTATTTCCTCAT